ATATAGATCTAGTGTTTGTTTGGATCTTTCTGCTTTAAAATAATCAAGTTTGTAAATATATATTGCCTATGTCATTGCAGAGGAGAAACATTTCACAAAATGGCTGACGAATTAGCTCGAGTACAGCAGTATGAATATCGACAGGGGGGTCTGCTAATTACTGTATTTATTGCTGGCCTTTATGCGAGTGATGTCAACACAAATGTCTGATGTCTTTTTCAGAACTCCAACTTGGTGTTGCAAGTGGACTATAATCTTACCGATCGACGTGGTCGCGAAGAGCCCACTGGTGAAGTTCTACCACTTTCTGACCGTGTCCTGAAGGGCATGAAGATGGGTGATAAGTATATGCGCACGAAAGCACCTATTCAGGAGCAAAAGAAAAAACGGTTCGTTGCTCATGAGATTGTATGAGTTCTCAGTGTGATCATGTTTCTTCAGAAAGAAGAAGACGGAGGAGGAAGATTTCCGTCTTATGTCAAAATCTGTCATAGGAGATAACACCGAGCTCATGGGAAGCTATAAACCACGCACACAGGAAACTAAGCAAACCTATGAAGTAATTCTTGCTTTCATACAGGAAGCCATTGGAGATCAAGTGAGTTCATTCGCCGTTTAATCAGTGTGTTGGCCACTATTCAATTTTGAGTTTTAGCCGCGTGATATCCTTTGTGGTGCAGCAGACGAGGTTCTAGCAGTGCTAAAGTCGGACAAAGTTAGGGAGAAAGAAAAGAAAAAAGAGGTATTTTTATAGTTTTCCCAATTAAATTGAATTATCAGTAAAACATACTTCTAGGTGGAATTACTCCTTGGTCCTTTGACCGACGAAAGAACTGCAGTGCTTATCAACCTGGCTCGAAAAATAACTGATTTCTCCATGGAGGATGAACATAAAATGGAAATGGTAACTCATTTGGCCTCCCAACTTACTCTCCCAATGTGTTGGATGCCTAAGCAGCATTTTCAGGATGAGCTTGACGAAAACGAGGGTGTCAATGTGCACTTTGACGAGTCAGATGAAGAGCAAGATGCTGTTATCGATGAAATTAAAAGTGATTTTATTTTTCCTTCATTTCTGTAGGAATTTGATTCAGCGTTTTTCCCCATAACGTGGCTTGCGTCTGGACCTGAAATTTGCATCACATTATTCAATTAGCTAGATGTCTGGCAACGTAATGGCTTAATCGCTCGCGCCTCAGAAGAGCATTTTGGGATTTCCTGGAGAAGCGGGAGAGCTTCTCAGTTTTCTCAGGAAATTGGTTGAGAGCACAATACGTTAAATCAAACGTCCTTGAGGGAACAAATGACATTGCAGATGTCGACGAAAGCTCCAGCGATGATGAAGGCGGGGAAGAGGCTGAACATAACGAAACCCTCCGAGGTGGAGGTTTCAATGAAGTGAGTTGTGGTTCCGAACAACTCTGCACCTCTTCCCATTCGCAGCATCTGTCTCCTGATTTGATATTATTCAGGAAGAAGAAAGAACTAAGAAAGATGTTCTTCATCCTCGAGATATTGATGCTCATTGGATTCAACGCTCCTTAGCAAAGTTTTTCAACGATCCCAATTGTAGCTCAGCAAAAAGTAACGGAAGTTTTAAGTATCTTGAAGGTTCGTTCTTTTTTATTATCAATGTCTTTATCTATAAATGCTAATTTGTTCCTTACCAAACACATCAGTGGTTTAATATTGAGTGGTTAACAATTTCAGTGTTATTTTACGAGTTTCAGGATTCAGCAGACGATCGCGAGTGTGAGAACAAGCTGGTTCTTCTGCTTGGCTTCGATCACTTTGACTTCATCCGTATTCTGCGGCAACACCGACACATGGTTCTATACTGTACTTTACTGAAACAAGCTCAAGATGAAGAAAGAGTCAAGGTTGTCACAGTATATTCTCCTCAGCGCCAGTCTTCTTATTGCCTATGTTCAGATTGAAGAAGAAATGAAAATGAAGCCCGAACTGCACCACGTCTTGGCTCAGCTTCTTGAAACAGACGAAACTGATATTGTTGAGGTAACGTGACTAGCACACTCTGCCTTTTTGGATGTTAGATACCCAAAATTACATGTCCATTCTTTAGACTGAACGGGCTAAACGTGAAAAGACAGCACAAAGGAGAGCAGCGGCTGCTGCTGGAGAAGAAGCTGTAGCTGCCGGTCAATGGTTGGCAGCCAGAAAAGTTCTCGATCTCGAAGATCTTACGTTTTCTCAAGGAAGCCATCTAATGAGCAACAAAAGGTGAGGGAATCGCATCTCAGTTCTTGTCTATCAAGTGTATATAAGAGTTCACTCAAAATAGGGTCTCCGATGGTTACGATCAACATCAACTGATACACTAATCCTTGAACTTTCAGATTGTGAAAAGAAAAGTTATGAAGAAATCCACGTACCTGCATTGAAACCGAAACCGTTTGCAGAAGGAGAGGTAAGCCCTTTCCTAATAGTCTTGTAAGAATCATTTTATTATTTGCTTTCGTTCAGAAATTAATCGACATAAGCGAACTGCCGAAATGGGTACAACCAGCTTTTGAAGGGCTTCAAGTCTTTGAATCGTATTCAGTCACGTCTTTGTGAGAGTGCACTGAACAGCGATGAACATCTTCTTCTTTGTGCACCAACTGTAAGTGATTTCAAACGTTTTGTGCACTATCGTTCTACTATTTTCCATCTCTTCAGGGAGCAGGTAAAACAAACGTCGCATTGCTGACCATTCTCCACGAGATTGGAAAGCATCTGAACGAAGATGGCAGCGTAAAGCTGGACGAGTTCAAATGCATATACATTGCTCCCATGAAATCTCTTGTGCAAGAAATGGTTGGAAATTTCACGAAAAGACTGGCACCATTCGGAATAACTGTAAGGCGTTCAAATTGATAATGATACCGAAGTGTGCTTACTGGAAGAATTCGAAAATTTAGGTTGGGGAAATGACAGGAGATGCGCAGATGAGCAAAGAGCAGTTCATGGCAACTCAAGTCATAGTATGTACTCCAGAAAAGTACGACATCGTTTCTAGGAAAGGTATGCTAGCTACCTGTTAGGCGTATCTAGGCTTTGCAGCAAAATGAATCTGTCTCAGGTGGTGAACGTGCATACAGTCAGCTGGTGCGGTTAGTGATTATTGACGAAATTCATTTGCTCCATGATGATCGTGGGCCTGTTCTTGAAGCGATTGTCGTTCAGGTACTATTTTTCGTCCGTTATGCTTCCAATCGATGCGGTGAACCAGTTCTTTGCAGAACTCTTCGCCAGGTTGAACAGACACATGATGACTGTCGTCTCGTTGGTCTCTCGGCGACCCTCCCTAATTATCAAGATGTTGGAACTTTTCTTCGTGTTAAACCAGAACATCTTTATTACTTTGACAACAGCTATCGACCTGTACCGTTGGAGCAGCAGTACATAGGTATTCAGTACTTCTTACACCCTGGTGAGAACTCATTTACGGAATGTTTCTTATAGGAGTCACTGAGAAGAAAGCCCTCAAACGTTTCCAAGCGATGAATGAGGTGGTGTATGATAAAATTATGGAGCACGCCGGCAAAAGTCAGGTTGGTTATTTTCTAAGATATCGCTGCATGTTGTGTCTTCTGTATGCTTATATTTCTATAACCCCGCATTCTAGGTACTCATTTTCGTCCACTCTCGTAAGGAAACGGCTAAAACAGCGAAGGCAATTCGTGATGCATGTCTTGAAAAGGACACGCTTAGCGCATTCATGCGCGAAGGCAGTGCTAGTACCGAAATTCTTCGTACTGAGGCTGAACAAGTAGGTTATTTATTAACTTGCTTGTGGCGTTTCAAATAGGTGCACATTAAAAATTCCTCTCTGTTCAGGTAAAGAATCATGAATTGAAAGATTTACTTCCATATGGATTTGCTATTCATCATGCCGGAATGAACAGACTCGATCGTACACTCGTTGAGGATCTATTTGCCGACAAGCACATTCAGGTCTCCTATTTATTTTTTGTTTTGTTAAATAGCTAAATTATGGACTGCTCCAATATTCTCTGAATGACGTTGTGGAAATGATTTTCTAGTCTGTGCTTCTTATTTTATCACTGAATGTTTGAGAGCATGTTGTGGCCAAATTCCTTCATCAGCTTTTCGATTCCAAAGTGCACGATATTTGCTTGTAATATGGTGGACGTGGAAGGAGCCCTTGTGTAGAAAACAGCAAACGTCAAACCCTCCTCAAAAACTTACCAATCATGCAATTCGGACAATTTCAGGTGTTATTCTCCACCGCTACTCTAGCTTGGGGAGTGAACTTGCCAGCGCATACCGTGATCATAAAAGGCACGCAAATATATAGTCCAGAGAAAGGGCGCTGGACCGAACTTGGTGCCCTGGATGTCATGCAGGTACGTTGTGATATATGAAACATGTTGTGCTTTGTTTCGTCGCATATCCCATTTTTTAGATGCTTGGTCGTGCTGGTCGTCCACAGTATGATTCCAAGGGCAAAGGAATTCTGATTACGAACCATTCGGAATTGCAGTTTTATCTTTCCCTAATGAACCAGCAGGTTTGTGGATTCGCCCATTTCTTTTTAAGATTTTGTTGCTATTATTTCAGGTAATTTTTATGATGATTTTTTAAGCTTCCTGTGGAAAGCCAGATGATAGCCAGGTTGCCGGACATGCTTAATGCCGAAGTAGTTCTTGGTACAATCAGTAGTGTCAGTGACGCCATGTCATGGTTGGGCTATACGTATCTTTATATCCGAATGTTGAAATCTCCGGTGTTGTACGGTATACCCCTCGAACAAGCGGTATGTTCCTTGAGAGTATTACTTCCTAATGTTTTCAATGAATTTGATTATAATGTTCGAATGTCTTTAATTAATTACCCTGATGGTTTTCAAAGTGGAAACATAATTGTGCAAACTTTCTTCTAAAAATCCTTACTTTGGTGACTTTTTTTCCTACACGGCGGTGCAAGATTAGTAAGTCGAGGTACACCGTACGGAATCCTTTTCAGAAATCTGACCCTCTACTTGAACAACGTCGTGCGGATCTTATACATACGTCGTGCTTGCAACTTGATAAAGGCAATTTGGTGAAGTACGACAAGAAGAGTGGTTTGATCCAGGTAAGCATAGTAGCTCTGTGCTGGCGGCGAGCGCTTTATCGTGGTTTTAATCGCTTTTAGTGGTTCAGTATAGCATCCGATTTCATCAGCTATTTAGGCAACTGAATTAGGGCGGATCGCGTCTCATTACTACTGCACGTATGAGTCTATGCAAACGTATAACCAACTTTTGAAACCAACAGCAACGGAAATTGACTTGTTCCGCATTTTCTCGTTGTCCAGTGAATTCAAAAATATCATGTCGTGAGTCATCAAGTCTTGATTCGAACTTCTACTTTCTTAGCGGTAAGGATCTACTGAGCTGCAGTACAAAATAATGCACTGTTAAGGTTCGAGAGGAAGAGAAGCTTGAGCTCCAAAAGTTGGCTGAACATGTTCCCATTCCCATCAAAGAAAGCCTTGATGAGAGTAGTGCTAAAACCAATGTTCTCCTTCAGGTGGCTTCATTGTCAATCTTTTGTTTGCTTTGTTTCAAATTTGATATGCTCTTTTCTTTATTCAAAATGTACAACTTTCAGGCCTATATTTCGCAATTGAAACTAGATGGCTTCGCTTTGCAATCTGACATGGTGTTCATTGCACAATCTGCAGGCCGTCTATTCAGAGCGTTGTACGAAATAGTTCTATGGCGAGGCTGGGCAGCTTTGGCACTGGTTCGTAAAGCTTTTTGGCGATTCTGTCAACTTTTCCATTTTGATCGTCTCGTACATGTACGCTTTAGAAAGTGTTGAGTTTGTGCAAGATGGTCACAGCACGTCAATGGCAATCTCTTAATCCTCTTCACCAATTCAAGAAAATTCCTACAGAAGTGCGTGTGTAGTTCTTTTTCCTTTTTCTTCCTTGTTCGTCTCAGAAGACTAATAGGCACCGATTTTCTCTTTACACTGCAACAACTTCGTATCAGATTGTGCGCAGCATTGACAAGAGAAATTATTCATTCGAGCGTCTTTATGATTTGGATCAGCATCAACTTGGAGAGCTTATTCGCATGCCGAAAATGGGGAAACCATTGTACAAATTCATTAGACAGGTAGGTTCGTTATATAGTGAGAATGTTGCAGGTTGTTTTTTTACGCTCACCTTCGCATTTTACGTTTGCCTTTTAGTTCCCGAAACTAGAAATGACTACACTCATCCAGCCGATAACAAGAACTACTCTCCGTATCGAATTGACGATCACTCCAGATTTTCAATGGGATGAAAAGTGAGTACCATTTGGCTATACCTGCTTGTTTATGGATTAATGCTAGTTGACAATCTTAAGGGTACATGGTAGCGCGGAAGGATTCTGGATTTTTGTTGAAGATGTAGATGGTGAACTTATTCTCCATCATGAATATTTTCTACTCAAGCAGTAAGTTTCTCGTCTCTTGTTTTGAATTCTTCTCTTTTGTCTTTCACCATATTATCCAATCAGTGTCAAAAAATATGCGTGGCAAACCTACTTAGTACATTTGTTGCGTATCTAGGAAGTTTTGCACAGAGGAGCATGTGGTGAAGATGTTTGTCCCTGTATTTGATCCGTTGCCGCCACTTTATTTCGTAAGAATCGTTTCGGATAGATGGCTCGGATCTGAGACAGTGAGTTTTTCGTTCACTTTTTCCTTCGCTCAAAAATTCACTCACAACTATAGGTTTTTTGTTCAGGTGTTGCCTATTTCATTCCGTCACCTTGTACTACCAGAAAAGTATCCTCCCCCAACGGAACTGCTCGATCTGCAGCCTCTTCCAATATCTGCGCTAAACAACAAGCAGTTTGAAGCTGTATTCCAGGCAAAGGAAATTAAAATATTCAATCCAATACAAACACAAGGTATATCTGTGCTGATAGCTGATACTGCAGAAGCAAATGTGTGTTAGTAATTCTGCCATTTTCATCACCATTTGCAGTTTTCCGAACCGTTTACGAGAGTAACGATAATGTGCTGATAGCCGCTCCAAATGGCTCAGGAAAAACAGCCTGTGCTGAGCTTGCCATTCTCCGCCACTTTGAGAATCATCCGGACGCTAAGTGTGTTTATGTCACTCCAATGGAAGATATGGCAACCAAGGTTGGTGTCTGTTTTGACAAAGAAGTTCCTCGAAGATGAGCGGTATGGTCCAACTGACATCCAAGAAACAAAGTTTCTTTGAATTTTTTTTTGTCGTATGCTCTCATGTTTTTTGCAAAGACCACGTGCTATCCTGGGCTAAGTGTTAGTCTTGCTGCGCACATGAGCGTCCCATTTGCTCAAACGGTTCACTATTGTGGAACTTTTATACCGTATTTTCGAGGTAATCATGTACTTGACTGGAAATTCAAGGCGTGGTCACTTCTCATATCTCCATCTTATTAAATCGTTTCTCAGGATTTTCTGTTTAACATTTTTCACTAAGATTTTCAATGACTGGCAAGATCGTATCGGTATGGCACTCGATCGAACGGTGGTCCTTCTCACTGGCGAACCATCAACCGACTTGAAACTACTCCAGCGTGGCAAGCTTATTATAGCTACTCCGGAAAGGTACGCAAGGAAATGTGTGCGTTTACTCACATATGTACTGTTTATGTCAGGATTTTTATAGATGGGACAACGTTTCTCGTCGATGGAAGCAAAGAAAGAATGTACAAGCTGTGAAACTGTTCGTCGTCGATGATCTGCATATGATCGGTGGAACGATTGGGGTGAGTTTCCAATTTACCATGTCTTCTTATCATCTGATGATAATAATTTCAGCTATTTATTGGAGTCATCATGCCTCTCGAATGCGGTAACACATTCGGCTCTAGTTGGACACAACTGTTCGCATTGTCGGTCTATCATCATCATTGACCAATGCACGCGACGTTGGTGCTTGGCTTGGCTGCTCGGCAGCTGCAACATTCAATTTCCTTCCAAATACTCGACCTGTACCGTTGGAACTTTATATCCAGGTATCCATGGCAAAACCACTCCATGATTTCCAAGGAAAAGGAGCACTTTAATCTTAGAGTTGTTTACACTTTATTTTTAGTAACTTTTCCTTGTGTAATTGGTTTTCATTTGAGGGTTTCAATTTGTCTCACACTGCTTCACGTTTGGCTGCTATGGTCCGCCCTGTATATCAGGCCATCAGTCGTCATGCAGGAAAGCTGAATCCAAAACCGGCTCTTGTATGTTTTGAGAAGATCTTTTTTAAGGTTTTGATAATTTTCCTGGACAACCGATATTTCAGGTATTTGTTCCTGGGCGACGTCAGTCTCGATCAACCGCGATTGACCTACTAACCATGGCCCATGCAGACGGTTCTCCTCAACGTTTTCTGCATATTAGCGAGAAGGACGAGACTTTCCGCAAACTTCTGGATTCCTTACAGGTTGGAGTCATTACGTACAGATGACTGTGAACTTGTGGCTCATACTGTTTTTGCTCAGGATCAAACTCTCCGAGAGACGCTATTGTGCGGTGTTGGATTTTTGCATGAAGGAACGCATGCCAAGGATTTCCAAATTGTCGAGAAACTGTTCAGTAGCGGTGCCATTCAGGTTAGTGCAGAAATCAGTCGTTCTTCTATCTTGCAAAAATTAACTTATTCAGGTCTGCATTGTACCACGTACGATGTGCTACCAAGTTAGTATGTTCGCGTACCTTGTTGTTATCATGGATACTCAGTTTTATAATGGAAAGTACCATGTATACGAGGACTACCCCATCGGAGACGTTCTGCATATGGTTGGACTAGCAAACAGACCGGGACGGGATCCTGATGGTGAGCTTTTGGAGGTCTTTCGAGAGCATGGTGCACGAAATTCGTTGTTTCTATATTGTACGTTCTTCTTTGAGTGATACCCCGAAGGTTGTAGTCCTCTTTTGGCTACCTCTTTTTCGAAATCTTCCTCAGCAGCCTGCCTCATGCGTTTGCTCACGCAGTTCTACCAATTTTATGAATCGGGCGACTGCGTGAAGTGAGCAGTCAGTTTACGTTGGCGTTTCCTCGAGTGGTGATGACGTGCCATTGCGGATACTTGAGTAGTAAACATTGATGAAAAGAAATAACTCCTCCCTCCATGTGTCGTTCACACTGCCTTTCTACCTCTCAGTCATCTAACGGTTAATAAAACAAGCTTCCAGTTCAGTTTCTGTTTTCTGAGGAATCTTGTGATCACCGCTTCCTTTACCAGGTTTCAAGAAGGAAGTATCCTCATTAACGTTATCGCTGTCATTCTTACGTATTGCAATGTCTTTCTTCTGCGTTCGTGTCGCCACCATTATTGTTAGCTGTTTCACATACAGCTTCTAGCGATGGTTGATGGACTTATGCGCGCCTTTCTGCTTTTTCCTTCTGACCTATGACTTATGATTCGCCAGTAAAGGTCCAAAGGTTAATCAAGCTTTTCGAAACTCCACTCATTTGATAACCTAGGTCTCTATGCTTGTTTGTCATCGGGTACATGTGAAATGTCATTGGAGGGAAACAGTCTTGTCAGGACACTGCTCAGAGTTTCTGAAAGCGAATTAAGCCTTTGATTACGTTTTTGGCGAAGACTCATGGTCCTTGTGCCTGTTCGCTTCCTTCTTTCAATGTCCATTCAGTTCCACTTTTCAGGCATGCTTATCTTATCTGGACCTCTTAACCTCTTGACTATCAGATTAAAGTGAATGGCTCGCGGAGAGCTGCATTGACACAAATATATTCAATTTATAGGCTTACGCATTGCCTTCCTTAAATCGTCTCAAACAACACGCATCATCAACCGCTCATTCCACTGGTTTCATTTTTGTAATGAAAGAAGTTTCTCCAAATGAAGTGGGGATAAATCCTATGGGAACGAGTGGGAAAGTTATATGGGTGATTAAGTAGAAGACTTACCCTTTGAGATGATATGTAACGCTTTAGAGGAAGTGTCACACAGCTGCTGGGAGTTCGTTTCGGCGCCTTATCAAAGGTGTGATAAGGCGGCGGAACGAACTTCCAGAACTCATTATCACCTGTGCTTCAGATGTGACAGGTGTATAACCAGTCTTTCAATTTTCACGTTGGTTCGATTTCAAAAAAATTTAATGACCCCTTCCCTTGGACAGTCCCTGGGTGGGGCTGTTAGATTCAGAAAACTATCGCGATTGTGTAGTATTTGAAACCCTTTTTTGTTATGAAGTATGAGGTCATATTCCGTAGAAATGCGCAATTCTCCCTGTGTCGTAGTTCCCTTAAAATAAGAAACTGTGGGAGTAGTAGGAAAATTTGTGAACTCCAAATTGTTCACTCTCTAAAAGTACTCAAACTTTTGCGAATGTTCATTCCTTCAGGCGAACGTCCCCTTGATACGTTTTTCGTGCAATCGCAAGTTTTTGAGCTTTGAACTGTTAGATCCTTAACCGAAATTATCTTTTTGCTATTCTTAACCTCTGTAGAAAACTAATAGAACGTTAGAGCTTCCTAGCGAAGGCCTGAACTTAT